AAAATATTAACCACCACCACCCCTCATATTGGGCAATAGCAAGATTTTAGACAACCAGGATATCTTTCTTAGTAGCAGCTGGGATTTTTGTTCTGGTAGAGACCAAACAAAACACTGCCTCACTTCTTAGTTTTTGAGTTAGTCTAGAACATAAAAGATGCAACATTTATCAGGCCTGCATTACTGCTAGACTTTACATGATAGTACACTCAGGCAAATGCAGTCTTACCTGTTAATTCTTGCCTCTGCTGGGTTGCAGCTTGAACCCTGTGATCTCGTGCTTTGCCAGCCCAAGAGTGAAATTCACATCTGTACTCTTTGCTAAGAACACCGACTGCCTTCTCGTAGGAGACAGTCAAGGAGAAGTCAGTGTGTTTGAGCTGCAGAACCTGGCTGCTCCCAACAGTAATAAGGTACGATTTACTAGGAAAAGGTGGTGGCCCTCAGCGGCCTGTGTGCTTGTCTGGTACTTCATTCCTCAGAAAGGGGTTTCTGTTAAAAGATCTAGCTAATAAACATTGAAATAGGTAGAATCAGATACAATTCCATAACCATATTAAAACCTGAGGTGGTTCCTGCTCTTCTGCATGCCATACCACTAGAAACTTCAGGAACAGGTAAGGCAACATTGAACTTGAGGTTTCACTTGATCGCAAATCCAGAGGTTCCCCATAGCTGGATTTGGGAGGGACACTCGGGGACAAGGGCAGGAAGGTGGGGCTTCCTCTAAATGCAGTCTGCAGGTGACTGTATTTGGCAGAACGCCCTTACCTGCTGACAACGCAGGAACGACGTGCCCTCTCCTGGCCACCACCAAGATAGTCTCACTTTGCTGGTGTCAGCAAACCCATTACCCTTTGGTTCTGCATTGCCTTCACTCCTTTGGAAGCCACTACTTATCCTAGTTAGGGCTTTTCTGTCCTAGATGACATGGGAGAATTTGACTTGCCTTACAACTAGGTTCCTTTCCAATCATACCACTGCATAGATTCCGTGTCAGCAGCAGTGCAAAAGCTGACTGATGTCAACTGTGAATCCCTCCTGTTCACTTTGCATAAATCACTGCTAATTTATACCAAAGCCCCGCTGGGCTCTCCTTGCCTGGTCCATGGTACCTGATGCCACCCTGGGTACTCCAGCACCAGGTGGATCCCTCCTCCAGGATCTCTCTGGAGGTGGCCTGCAGCCCCGAACTGCACTGCTGCCTTTGTCCTTTCAGCTTTGAGCAAGTAGCTTTGGCTTACTTGGGTTCCCAATTTGTAAAGTGGGACTGGTACTTTTTAAAACCCCTTCTGAGTTACATGGTGCAAAATACTAAACTTAAGTTGGAGAGAACGAAAAAGCTGATGTTAATCTAACCTTCATTCTTAGGGTATTAAGCATTAATAATTCACAATTGTCAGCGTTGCATTTAGAAATTCTGGTAATTACCAGCCTCATTTGCCAACTGTTGTAAGCCACAGAGCAAAAAGATATTTCCCTTAAAAACTGAAAAGTGAGGCCATTGTTATTAAACTTACAAAATAAAATTGGTGGGGTTTTTTGCCCTACAAATCACCATGAAGCAGCCCAAGTCCTCTGAGAAAAGTCCTTCAGTTAATAAGAGTATAGGGATAATTTTCTGGATTTGTCACCAGACCAGGACTAAAAATACCAGTGCTTAATTTCACAGATGTTGGGCATGTGGCGTAACTGGTCACTGAGTCACAGAGCCTCATTAGCCAAAGGGAGCCCTGCTTTCCAGCATCATCCATTTCTTTCACTCCCTTTTCTGATAACAGCAAGGTCTTCCTAGGCTTAGGTATGTACAAGGCTTAGCACGACAGGGTCCATGCTACAACTAACGCTAAAGGGAGATAATTACTTCATGGGCAATCACATCTCAGTACAGCTACCATACTTGTATCATCTTGAAAATGAATGTCCTTTATGAACAAGATATACGTTTGTATGCTGCTAAGTATGATGCTACAAATGCAATTCAAACAGGCCTGCCAAAAAGTGGTATTTTCAAGGAGCACTGTTAGAGGTTAGCATAGTATTAACAGAATTCCAAAGAAGAATCAGCTGACATAATACAAACTACCTTAGCCTGCTTTCTGGATGCTCATTGCACAAGCAATTCTGTTCTCAGTTCGTAAATAGGAATTTTGGATCACTGCATGTCTTATACTGCAATTACACTGTCATACAGCTCTTTTTTTCCTCTTGTTTTACAGGTTGATACCTTACATGACATAATTGGTCCTGCTGTAGCTATTTAACAGTAGCTAAATGGTACCACTTCTCAGCTGGTAAACAGCAAGAAAGACTTACTGCAGTATTAACGTAAACCATTTATTCTTTTTCAATCATTAAAATTCCTCTTTGAAACCATACTGGTTAGAAACTTCTTTCAAATGCTCTAAATTTTCCCCTGGAAGTCTCCCTCATTAGACAAACAGTATTAACACACAGACAGCCTTCCCTGTAATACAGATAAGATAACAGAAAGGTCTCCGTTGTCTTTTCTCCTTGGGTTTTTTCTCCTTGTTTTTTTTTTCCTCCAAGGTCTTTTCTCCTTGGGTTACTCAAAAAGCAAAAATGCCAAAATCACCTCCTGTATAGGCCAGTCCATAATACAGCCTAAGTCCTTACCAGATGTAGTCTGTATCTTCCCTGTGAAATCGTAAACAAATGGACTTTTCATCAGATCCATCTTGTCTGTCATCCCATAAACCACCGCTGAGAGTGAAAGCCGAGCTTTGAGTGGCATCAGGTGCTCCTGTGGTCATCCCACACCAGGCAAAACTAGAGATTAACTTTTTCAACCCCTGACGAATTAGGATGATGTAAAACTGCAATTTAAATTCACTCTGTTCCACACTGACACTTTTCTGAAAGCTCTTCACAGGAGGTAACAGTGTGGTCCTGGAGCAAGGATTGGCTTTTGCAGCTCTGGAAGCCAGATCTGTGCTTTCTGAGCTCTCACCACTGCCCTTAGCCCACCCCTGGCAGCTGCAGAGCCGAAAGCTGTTGGGAATGCTTGCTCAGGCCTGCATTGCTTGTTGGAAGCAGGCAGCGTTTGGCTGTCTAGGCTGTCTTTTTTAGGATCAGAAGAAACAGAAAAAAGCACCCAGCGAGCACCCAGCTGCACCGTGGCGTCTTAGAGGATTTTCAGAGACTGACTGCTCACCGAAAATACCGAGCATCTCTACAGATGAGTAATTAAGAATAAGATCTAGGCAATAGCCCTATTGCCTGAGCAGTGCAGCAGGGATCCCCATCCCAGGAGCGAGGCGATACAGAAGCGTGGCAGTAAAGCGCCCTGCCTGCCAACTGACGGAGGCAATAGCTGCCTGCTCTTGAAAGCATTATGTAGCGAGACATGCATTTTATAGATACAGAACGTTCAGACTCTCTCATTAGCCTGACAATAAACGTCCAACATTTAAACACATCACTGACGTTAAAGATCATTTGTGATGCATTAACGTTCACTTCCTGCTGTGTTCTGCACATTTCACAGTGAACATGCAAGCTTACCCTTGACATAAAATTAATCCTCGTGCATTTCAAAGAAAGACACCCATTAAGGTGAATCATGTGTTAACCATTATTACAAATCTGAACAAAATACACCATATATTTTCCATTGGTGGTCATGACTGTTTACTTACTGATGCTACCGGTAAAAAATGAGCTTTCTGTCAAGGCTGTAACACATCGTAATTCACCCTGCACATCGTGCAAACTAATTAACTGTAACATTATGGTCCTGGAAAACACTTCTGGTGCTAGGAAGTGCTAAAGATCTCCAAAGTTCCTTATGTATTTTGTTCTTAAACACGGAATTTCTGACTCATAATTGACAAATATTCTCCTTAAGGCATTTTATTGCAAGAATTTTTTATAGAAGCTTACAGCAACCGCAGCCAACAACATCCACGGCAGCATAACCAATCTACTAACCTCTGGTCCCAGAGCACAGTAACACTGCTCCACGCCACTTCAGTGAACCCACTGCTGTCTTTCAGATACTATCAAAATGAAAAGGACGGCCTGGGCGCTGATCTGTAGCTATTCTGTGCTTTGTTTAGAGCCATCTCCCTCTCTTTTCTATGCCTTTTTGGACAAGCGCCACGTCCACAGGCCTCACTGCGGAGGCACGTGAGCCTTGCAGCTGCAGGGAGCTACTCCACTGCCCCCAGGTATCTGCGAGGCAAACACCTACAGACACAAGCTGCCAAACAACTGCGCTGCTCTGTACAGTGTGTTACAGCGAGTTCACTGTGCTCAAATGCTCCGCATGCTGCAGGATCGTGTCCTACCACGTAGCACGCTAGGAATCATAGCGGGGCATTTGCAGGCTTGGATGCCTACACTTGCCACAAAAACCCCTCGGTACGTGATTTTCTCTTGAGTGACTGCCCAGCACCAGCAGATTCCTCTGAAGCGACTACAGTTGCCAGCTTGCAAAAGGGATGCTCGGCAATAGAACAAGACAACTGCAGACATCACTAGAAGTTGTTAACTCCCTTTTAGTCTGGGATCACTAACACAAAAAGACCTGATGTTGTTTAAACTGTAATAACAGGCACAACTGGGCAACAGGCTGCGGTAGCACAGCTGTGTGGGAAACACACAGAGACAAAACCCATTATCTACAAATCGTGTAATAAACACCCTTTCATTTTTGCAGAACATACACATTAACAGTATTGATCTAAGCCCGTACCCTATAAACATGTTATACTACATGTGTTCCTATAGTAAAGCTACTAAAGTAGTCTTAAGAAGTCTTTAATACCTGACCGAAATCCCAGCGTATCCCAAAGCACTTAAAACATTACCAGAAACAAGTGATTAACTTGTTTGTAGCAAACATTAAATCACCCTCAGATTGAGCCATCACTCAGTGGAGCGGATGGGCCGTCACTATAAATGAGGGTTTCAGCAGAACTCCTCACCGATCCCTTCTGCCCTGCCGACAGCCAGCCTCAAAGCACCGCGCCGGCAGAATGCGGTGCACAGTGCTGGCGCTGGCCTTCCTCGCTCTCCTAATTGCAGCCTGTGAAGGAAGAGGCGAAGGAAACACCGTGAAGCTCTGCGGGAGAGACTTTGTCAGAGCCATCGTCTTCACCTGCGGTGGCTCTCGGTGGAAAAGGCATTTGACTGATTATCACTACCTGTTTGGTAAGTACTAATTAATGCATTACAGGCTTATCACCCCCTGCAAGGTGTGCCTAAATCTGGGGGGATTCAGAAGAACAAAATCACCTGCGGGCTGTGCCTCAGGGCAGGGCTGTGCCCTCCATTTCTGCTGCTCCCCTGAAGAGGTGCATCTCAGGCATGAACAGCATGGGCTTCGCTTTCAGACAGCAAAAGTGGTGCAGCTTCACAGTTTTTGTTTCCTTACAGCTTGCTTGGCTTAGCTGAGTGTGCTATTTTGCTAAAAAAGTAACATTGAGATTGAGATTTTCCAAGTCAACCTGAGGAACCACGAGTTAAGCCCAAGGCTATTCCTGAAAATCTCTGTGCCATGCCATTTTAAATGTCAGAGACAAGCTTTGCTGCAGTCAATGCAAGTTTTTTACCATTGTCTTCAGTAGAACACACCACTTTCCCTAACAGAAACCTTATTATAACTTAAGAATATTATAATTAAAGTATGTTGAATATGTACTCTGCGATTTAAGTATCGTCACATGGTGTTGTATATATTTATATTTATTAGCACATTTTTAGACTCAGAAAATTCAGCCATTACTAGAAAAAATAAATGAGGCAGATGACAGGAGCAGAGGCTTTCCACACTTTCCATGCAGTAACATCTGCCTTTTTTGAAAATTCTATTGTAGCAGCACCTTTAATCCAAGATACAAAGCAATGCCACCTGCAACACCCTGCCCGAGAGTCTGTTAAAGGAGAAACCCCCACTGCTAAACTAAGCGAGATAACTACTATACCTTTATGAACTCCACAAGGCAGTGCCCGACTGTACTGTGGTATTTAAAATGCACGTGAATCGCAGGCGTAATTTAAGTGGGAACATCCAGGAACTTTGAAATTGTGGGGTATCTGATGCCTTAACATTACATCTGCATTTCAGGAAACCCACAAGCAGTTCCAGGTTAACACGCTGGTCAAGTGCCACAGACACATCAAATCAGTTTCACCCTTTGAAGCAAATGTATCAGTGTAAGACTGATAAAGCAACTATTCCTACAAAAAACATTCTTCAATATAAATCCATAAATTACTGGGTTTTTAACGTGTTAATCACAGACTGTGTCTCTCACGTATCTATTTTAATACTGCCCTGGTGAGAAGTCAGTGATCTGATGCATCTTGGTTGTTCACATCAGAAACATGGAGGATAATACTGTCAGCTCCCTGCCTGTAGGCTGGTCTGTCTTTCGAGTAAAGATAAATGTTATAAACTACTCATGATTCCATGACTTCTAATTTTTAGCCTCTAATTTTTATGCGACAGAGAGTGAAAATCCCCTGCCTTTCTCACAAGAGAACAACGCTTACGCTGACTCCTCGACGTACGCAGAGCAGAGGCTGGAGACCGACGGCGAAGAAATCCACAGCGTCAAGCCTGAGACAGAGCGAGACGTGCAACGTGCCAGGAAAATGTCTATGCTAAAAAAGCGCGAGGTAGCCAAGTTGCTCACCACATCCTGCTGCAGCATCGGCTGCAGCGAGAGAGAGATCAGTTCGCTATGTTAAAATGCAGCAGATTCCGATGAGGTTCAATGTCAATGTCACGGCTTTCATGTATTAAAATAATCATGACATAAACTACAATTATTTCAGTTGTGTTCTTTAATTGTAGCTATATTCTTTGGAGTACACTAGGGAGTACTGAATGTTAAATGTTGTAGTGCAAACCAGTGAAGGGCTGCAGTGACAGTTCAGGTTGGTTTGTCTGGATTCCACAAAGTGTTTATAGCAGTTTAGAGTTAAACTTTAGGTCACGAGTACAAATATTTCTTCCCACCTAACTACTGTTCTAGTTTCAGCTTTGCACATAAAATGTAATAAAACAAGCAATTTGTAATTTGAAGACATTTTTCACTTGATTTCAAGCACTATGGGACAGAGCTCCAAGCGGCACTAACGACCTCTCAGCTACCTTCTCTACACTCGGGGCTTTTCTCGGGGCTCAGGGGCAGCCAGGCCAGCACAGCTCCCAACTCTCACACCCCCTGCTGCCCTCCTACCACAGAGCCCACCCGGAGCACCTCTGGGGCCGGCAGGAAGGTCTGAAGGGATCCCTCCATCCCCCCAGCAGGGCAGGGTAACTCGCAGCACCCAGCTACTGCAGCGCGGCAGGACGCAGCATCTGCAATACAGCGTGTGCGTGCAGCCGGGGCCACAGGGCCCGGCACGCCCTTAGCTGCCTGCAAACGCCATTTAATGGGGGTAGTTTTAAAATGCTTTTGTTTTACATTCCAAAAATGTGATTTCTACTTGGGGATCACGTAGCGAGGGCAAATTCAGGGAGAAAAAAGTATTACAGGGATACCGGGTTCTGAAAGCAGCTAGAATCAAGTGCAGAAAAGCATTTCACAGAGAATCACTTCTCAGAGAAAGCTCTGGGAAATACAATTATTACATTCACCACCGAAAGGCTTATGGTAACCACATTTCAAAACAGGTGAAAGTTGCCTTGGTCCTTCACAACCGTTTTCAGCAACAGAAACAGGAAGGGTTAGGCTGAATGTTCATTTCTGCTGCTGTTGAACTTGACTTATTCAAAATAGACAGCATAGACATTTGCAAGAGCAAACAGTGAAGTGTTCTGGAACACATACGACGAAAATGTATCACTTGCAGGATCCCACAGGCACCTGCTTCCAATTTGCATGCTCTGCTCATTCAGCTGCCCAATATGTGTCACCACAACAATCTTGTACCTCGGTATCATGAGGTCTTTTACCCGAGCTTTAATAACCTGCAAGAGAAGAACACGTTTAGACACGAGTGGCAAGCTCTCTTTACAGGGGATGCTCAGGGATTTGGTTTTCTGGGACAGACAAGGGCACTGTAGAGCCCTTGCAACAATCCCGACGACAATCTTTTAACTGCAGCATTTGAAACATCTACGGCAAACTCCCCCAGCCCCACGGGCAGGTGGCATGTACGCTGCTGTGGTCATTTTACAGGAGAACCAATGCTTCTATCTGCTAAAAACAGGCACATCTTCCTGCGGGACTACTGAAATGCAAGCGCACATGTTACGTAAGGAGTTACTGAATGGGAATACCATACTATCCTCCGTATGTGTTCATAGTTACCCGCCGATTACAAGGGGGAAAGGAAGAGCAGACAGTACTGTTTTTTTAATACCTGTGAGCTCTTCTGGGCCAAATCAGCTGAAAGACTAAAGGGTCAGGGACAATCTTTTCTCAGCAGCATCAGCAGCAAGACTGGCTTTAACCAACAAAGAGCTTGCACACATGCCACTGTGCAGAATTCATCCACTACCATAACTGGCCTATTTCAGAAAGGTCTGATACATACTTAAAACTTATTAATGGCATTTCTGGACAGGGCAACCACAGCAGGGAGTTTTTACTGAACCCTGTGCTTGGCCAGAGCCACCGCTGTTCAAACAAACCTCATCATTAATTCGTATAAGCCTGCACCCGTAACAGACCAACCCTTGACAGCCTCCTCCAGCGTTTGTTTTACACTTTATAGATCTAGGGAAGGCCGAGGACCCCCCCTGCCGCGCCGGCCCCCTCCCTGACGCGCCCTCGAGGCGTGAGGACAAAATGGCCGCCTCATAGCGGTACCTCAGCGATGTCCCTCGCCATGTCCCTGCACCGGGTCGGCTCGTAGGGCTGCTCCCTCAGGTAGCTCCCCAGCACGTCCTTCAGGATATCATCCACCGCCGCCACCGGGAAGTGCCTGGGG